GAGCAACAGAAGAAAAAAGCTGTCCCAACTGGACCGAGAAGCTTCTGTTAGACAAGTAGGGTCTAAACCATTTTAAAACTGGACCTTTCAGAAGTCTCCAGCCTCGATATTAAAATGTCCTGATCTACTGGATCAAATACAGCTGTTTCAGAAAGCTCAGCTAAGCTTCAAAAAGATTTAAAATAGCTGAAGATAGCAGGATCAGGAGTGCAATGAGTGGTAAAAACCTGACAGACACTCACAGACTTTATCATTAAACAATGTTAAAGTGTCTGTGACATGCCTACTCTTCAAATACAGTCAAAGAAAACATCTTAATACTCAAGAAACTTGGCATAATACACATGATTTTACCCATTTCCTCACATAACTGGCCTGTTTTCTTTTGTATTTGGCTCAGCCGAAGTGAAACAGGAAGTGACATCAAAGGGGAACTCGTTAATAAAATAAACCCCCTGGTTTTTGTTTATTAAAACAAAATTATTTAAGCTTTAATTCTTCTTCATCTCTGATAGAGACTAAAAATAATCTAAAGAAACATCAGATTCTTYTCTACAGTCTGTGTTGTTAGCTTTTGTTACAACGCTCTGTTTACATGCAGACATTCCCCTATGACATCACTTCCTGTTTCTTCACATGCAAATATCTCAACAACTGTTGATCTCAGCAACATGAAATTTGTTTTGTAACATGTTATCARTGTTAYCTTTCCAAAAATGCATTCATGTTAATTACAAAGATCTGATGTCACAGRCCCTTTAAAAGCCTTTCACAGAGTAGAACAGAGGGAGTCAAACCAGAAGAATCAGAAGGATTCAGGAGAGGATTSAGAGAATCAAAAAGAATCTGAGGCTTGCTCATGTTTACACACATTAAACTACAAATAAAGTCTGAGTTTGAACATGTCCATGGAAATGTGAAGCCTGTCCTCCTTCCACTTTGTTCAGATCCCAGATAACGTTGTTGGAGATTCGATGAGAGAAAGAATCAAATCCTTCACCTATGATTTCTCCTACGACTCCTCTGACTCTGTGAGCTCCGGCTTCGTCTCTCAGGAGAAGGTAAGGACTGCTGTCATGTCTCATGTGGTGTGAGACGGTTGACTGTCCACCGTCCAGTCTTCCCCTGGGACAGGTGTCTTATGTCTGTTAATGTCTAAAACCAACCGTATGAAGTGTTGAAGGACAAACTGAGAGCTTCAGAGGAGGACAAAGAGCTGCTGTTTGATACAAACTTATAATAGATTTAAATAAACGTGAATATTTGACTGTCTGATCCTGTTGAAGGGGCTGCTCGGATAGAGGAAACACTGCTGTCGACACGTCCAGTGTCGCCTGTCGACACGTTCAGTGTCTGCTGTCGACACGTCCAGTGTCGGCTGTCGACACGTCCAGTGTGGGCTGTCGACACGTCCAGTGTCTGCTGTCGACACGTCCAGTGTGGGCTGTCGACACGTCCAGTGTGGGCTGTCGACACGTCCAGTGTCTGCTGTCG